CTTCACATCTAAGCATACATTACCTACAGCCATTGATTTAAGTTCCTCTTCTCTAATTCCACTCTGGATTCCCTCTGGCTTTTTATCATCTCCATTCTTCTAAACTTCTCACACAGATGTTGTGGCCAAAATTCAGAACTTCTTTTTCATCCTCATCTTCCTTGACTTTCCTACTATTTTTGACACAGTCTGTCTTGCCCTCTTTGAAATCTCGTCCTCCCTTGGTATTAACTCCAGCCTCTTATGGTTCTCCTGCCTCTCATAGGCTCCAAGGTCAGAGGGACATCTTTAACTCTTCCCTCTTCTCCCCCTATACATTTTGCATGCTTAGGAGGGATAGGGGTAGCTCAGTGGTTTGAGCATTAGCCTGCTAAACCCAGGGTTGTGAGTTTAATACTTGAGGGGGCCGCTTAGGGATCTGGGGCAAAATCAGTACTTGGTCCTGCTAGTGAAGGCAGGAGGCTGGACTTGATGACCTTTCAGGGTCCCTTCCAACTCTATGAGATAGGTATATCTCAGTGATTCCTAATATATATAGAAATCACTGAATGTTTTCAGTGTATGTACTGAAAACATGTGAATGCATCTGACTCTACACAGAGCCTCTCCAATATGGTTACTTTTAAGGCCAATTACCTGATGAAACAATTCAAAGCAGACTTCGTCTGGCAGAGACAATTAGAACAAATACCAAAATACTTTTCATGGGTTTGCAATCTCTGAGTTATTTCTAATCTGGACCTTTTCAGTGAACATTGTTTTCTTTTTTAAAAGTACCACAGTTCAACAACCACTGTGTTTCTATCAGCAATAAGTATAGAAAGCATAGCCTGGTGTATGTCAGGAATAGACTGTTTCTCCGTGTCTTTCAATAGCCATGTGGCAACAGTAATTGTTCACCTAATATGGTGGTAATAGAAAAATTGGCATGCATATTTAACACGTATTGTCATTTTTGAAAAAAAGTTTGTTGTGACAAGTTGGTGGCTCTTCTTTGCTTCTGTGACCATCCCAGCACGAGGTGACCACCACCATCTGCTTCACAGATCATTTTGGATATTGCTAAAATAAACATTGCAAAGAATTTGAATGCTGCATTAGGCCCTTCATTTAAAAAAAAGAAAAGAAAGTAAACTCTAATTTTTTGTTTCTGGTGCTTAGTCCCACACAAGTGCTTTGGAAATAGCTCTCTAATGCATTGTCCTACCCATCAAATATAAGGGACGATTAACAACAAGAGGTTAACAATCCCATTGCAAAACAGAATAGTGAGAAGAAAGTAGCTTCTAAAAAAAGCTATCATTTCTCTTTGGAAATCTGTAGCAAAACTAGTTTCTTGATAGGAATCTCTGGTGCATCCTAACTTACACCATTCCTCTCCTTCAATCTTCCAAAATGAGGAGAAAATGTTCACATCTGCATCCCACGGTTGGACAGAGAATCAGAGGAAAGACTCAGAAATGTGAGCCTTTACCATCAAATAATGTTTTCGTCTAAAAGGAAAAAAGGTAGTGTTGATTGGTAATGGGATAGTCTTTCACCCTTAAGAGGCAACTACTAAGCCAATTTAGCTCAGTAACGAACAGTAGGTTACCATCTAAGAGGACTTTTTTGGCCTATGTGAAATTTATTTGGTGGTTTTAATCCTGTTCTCAGTAGACAAGTCCTCATTTTACCTATATTGACACAAATGTTCTCATGACAGTCTCAGAGAGCTCGGCCGAAGATGACATGGGCTTGAAGAAAACACTTTTACCCGACAAGGCAATTAGTCTAGTTTAAAGAAGGAGAGTATTGGTAGGGCATACACTACAATTTTCAGTGCTTCATCTGACCTGCTGCTAAAGAGCTCCAATTGCTTTAGGGTTCATGCTCGAGGCCCATTAATCTGGGGCTTTTCAGACGGGCTAATGTCACTTGTAAACAATGTTTTTGTTATGGATTGAGCAAAATCACCACCTTTCATTTAAGATAGTTGTAAGAAGCCAGAGCTGGTCAAATCCTGTGCACTGAATGGGGTCTTATAGGGAAAAAATGGTTATGTGATCATGTAATTAAAGATTGTAGCACAATACATATGCACAAGAGGTCCAAATAAATGTTCACAAGCAACCTTAACAGGCATTTCCTAATTCCAGTACTCACCACACACTCCAGCCAGGAGTTCTCTCTCTCCATCAGTGGATCACAGTGTCTTTGCCCAATTAGTTCCTGTTCTGCCCCCCAAATCCAGCTCGTCAGATCGGTTTTCCCCCACCTGCTCATCTCCCCCTCTCAGTAGTTCCCAGTCCTCCCATTCCCTAGCTCTCAGTTGTGGTCTACTTGCCTAGCCACTCTCAAGTCTCTCCCGCCACCACCTCCATGCCCAAATCTACTCTTTCCCCTCTGCATTTGAGTCAACATCCTTTCTTCCATACATTGCCTAATGGGGGAAGGGTGGGGCTTCAGAGCACAGGACAGACCAGGAAGCGTCTCACCAAAATGGCTATTTTCTTTAAAACAAAAAAAACCCTCTGTAAAACAACATTTTCTGCTACCCTTGTTCTCTGAGAGAGCTGAACTGTTTTGGCTGAAACTTTCCCCAGAAAATCAGCCTGCTAGAGCAAATTTCAACCTCAATGGTTAAAGTCTAGCAAAGTTAAAAGGAACTGGAAAAAGATCTTACAATGGGAAGAAATGGCCAACCTTAAGAATAGATGGCACTGTTCACTGCATAGCACAACAGACCGTGCTGTGTGGATTCCCTACTGGTTCTTAATATGTACATTGTAAGCAACTGGCTAGACATTAATTCTATTTATCTGGTTTTGTCGCAGAAGCAGAACTGCTCAGCCAACATGCAGCTAGCATAGGAGCATGGGGGAGGGATAGCTCAGTGGTTTGAGCATTAGTCTGCTAAACCCAGGGTTGTGAGCTCAATCCTTGAGGGGGCCACTTAGGGATCTGGGGCAAAATCAGTACTTGGTCCTGCTAGTGAAGGCAAGGGGCTGGACTCCATGACCTTTCAGAGTCCCTTCCAACTCTATGAGATATAATATATGGAGATATACCTATTAATGTCCCATAAATTACAACTGATTTCAGTGGTGCTTCCTATAAAACATCAGGGGAACTAATGTCAAGAATTCACAGACGTATCTGCAGCATGGATGTAAGCATAGTTAATATGCAGAAGTATTTTGTACAACAAGAATGTTACTTTAGGCCTACAAATCTAATTATCAAACATTTTAAAATGAAGCAATACAATGCATAGTTCAAGAAAGTTTTTATTTCTGAATTTGTTGGCCAGTAACATTAACTGTTTTGAAAAGGAAAAATAAAAAGACATTTACCCAGAGAGCTCTTTTAAAGTATTAGTTTGCTATGTTTCTAGATACTCAAGCATGAAAAAAAAAACAACAACACTGTTTGGATTGCTTCACCATATGGTTAAATCTGTGGCTTGGAATAGTAGGGAATATTAGGAACTAGATGAGGTGGGGCTGTACATGAATATCATTGTTATATCAAACATCTTTTTTTTTAAAGTTTGGAATTCTGTAAATACAACAAACTAAATGTGAATCTAATATAAAGAGACATGCAGTAATTGTTTTATCAAACAATTCTTTGGGATGCATAATTTACATGTGACAGAGGCCACAGTAGGGTTTTTCTTTGTTTCTAAAAATCTTCTGGAAAAGGAAACCTGTAACCACATAACTTTGAAACTGCTTTTTGGAACTCAAATTTAAAGATCGGACCAAATCTTGAAGACCAGAGACAAAACACTCACAGCACAGGTCAAGGCATGTGGAATGGTCACAAAGTTCACCTTTGTAATCTTCTGATCTTGGATTGCTGCATACCGAACCATCTGTTTGGCATAGATTAGAGCAAACAGCAGCCAAAAATGTGACCCATTCTCAACTGCTCAGTCTTACTTATATTTCTATTTTGTAGCTAGAAAAATGAATCTAAGCATTCAGAATTGCATGATAGCATCAGCTTGGCTATACCTATCACCTGCTTGTATAACAGTTAACAGGTGTCAAATAGTCACTTCTTCTCTGAGACATAGAGCAATCTGCATTCAATGTAACTTAGGCATCTGTAGCAACTGAACAGTATTTTTCTAACAAGAATTTAGTGACTTCTGTACATCTTCCAGTTTGTTTTAGTGCCACCTTGCTCATTCTGATTACACTTAGCTTTTCAAAATGCCAATGGTGATGGTGACAACTCTTAGATGCTGGAAAAAATTTTAATGTCACTGAGTATAAATATGCCTTTCAGGCACGCTATCAAAATAAGTTACTAGATAGTTTTTTAAAGTCTAAAGCTTGCAGAAATATGGAATAAACCCAAAATGCAAGCATTAATATGCAGCAGTTAATTTAATTACAGTAGCTTTTCTTACCCTTTAGAACACTGGCCCTTACAAGGCTGCTCAAACAGTTAAATGAATGGCTAGATTACATAAAATCTTCAGTTTAGAAAGGGTTGATGTACTAAACAGCACATTAACAAAACTCATCTGTACAGCCATTAGAATTCCTTTGTGGCACAGTATTGAAAATATTTGGAGAACTTTACCTTCTAAAAATGCACATGTACAGTTTATACACATACTGGTTTGAGTTCACAACACCCAACTTTGTGTATTCTAATCAGGTAGTTAGATACAAAACTACATGATTTGCAATGATGATGACCCTTAATTGTAGAAATAGTTTCTTTTTAAATTTGATAAGACCTGCATCCATTATTACTGTATATTTGTATAAGAAGTGTTTTAAAAAGTATTAAAATTGGAGATGTAATTTAAACCAGAAGTAGTATGATTAGTGTACATAAATGTGTTGGCCATGAAATACACAGGAATTTATTAAATGAATTAATAGTGAAGTGAATGCATTTCTGTAACCATATTCTATGATGATGTGGATTTTTTATTCCTACCAGAGTTGGTCTTCCTGTTCTAGGAATGTCTTTTTAAGCACACAGAAAGAGACCTCTCAAACTGATATATATTTATTAACTTTGTTTTCAATTGCATGGCTTAAAAATAACCACTTTGAAATCCAATATACAATGCATGTGAATGACCTTTGCAGAATTTATAACAACATCAATAATCAAAATACGGGTCTTCAATTCCAGAATTACATTTTGTTAAACTGTACACAATGGTCCACTAACAGGAAAAAAAAAAAAAGGAAAGGCTTGCCAAAAGTATGGCCCATCCAATACACGCAACAGAGAGCTAGAGGGGTTAGAATATGCTTTTCATCTTTTTTGCTGCTCAAAGTTCATTAAGCCATTGGCTTGACAGAAAGATATTCTTGACATTCTTCAGTTGCTACTGTGCAAACAGAATACTGAAGGCCATCACTATACAGCACACAGCTACATATGGACTCTTCCGTTCACCTGGTGGAAAGAATCAAAGTGAATTACTGACCAGATGTCACCACAGGAGCAGGCAGACATATCTAATGTATGATATAATAATTACAATCCTGTTTAAATTAGTAAAATAGAAGATTATATTCAGTAGTTACTCTTGAAAGTATTGTAAAAATGTGAATGCGGCTATTTTAGGATGTTGAAGGAAGGTGCAAGAGAGGGTGGAGAAGGGGAAAATTGTAAGTGAAAGATATAGAGGCAGATTTTCTGTTGCATCCAAGGTGCACTTGGCAAAACAGGGAGGAGAGAGGAGGGCATCAAGAAGCCAGTTATGGTTCCCCGAATCTCTGCCTAGCTCTGTCTCAGCACAGTTTAGCTTAAACAGCTCCCCGGCTGCTCTATATCCATTGAGAACAGATGTAGCTCATCAGTGCTTGGCCATGCTCCCTCCCATTACACCCTCTACACCAGCATTTCTCAACCTTTGGGTCGGGGCCTAAAAATTAGGTCGCCAAAATGTTTCAAAGGGCCATGTGGCAGCTCCTATCCCACAGGGCTGGCTGGGCTCACCTCCCTGCTCCAGGCACTGCAATCTCTGGTGTCCGAGCACCACTCAGGTTTGGCCCAGTCATCAGGAATCTGGGTAGGCCAAATTTGAGTGGCACTGCAACCCCGTGAGCCAGCTCACAACTCCACTCTTACAGATTTGGTCCAGTCAGGGGGTCTGGGCCAAAACTGAACTCTGCGGCAACACTAGAGGTTGCAATGCCCACAGCAGAGAGCCAAGCCCAGCCAGCCCCATAGCACAAGTACTGCAGGAGCTGCCCCTGTGGGGTGAATGCCAGGCAGGACTCAAACCCCCCTCCCCTTCCCACCCTGGGGGCAGGATCTGACTGAAACCACCCCCAGGGTATGCTGTAACCAGAGCAAGGCAAGTGCAGCAGGGCAGCGATGCCAGGCGATGTGGGACAGTGGGGTTTGGGGAGGGAGCACCACCTACACCCCCTGACTCACCTCAGCAGGCTGCCGAGTCTGTTTGGGTTGGGGGGCTGCAACCAAAAAATCTGGAGGAGCATGTGACCCCAGGTGCATCCCCCTCCCATGCATCCCCTCTGGTAGGGGGTGCAAATATGCTTGCTTGCCCCAGGTGCCAAAATGCCTAGTTATGGCTCTGCCCCAGGGCCTCCACCTGCAGACTAATTACAGAGTTGCGACAGGCCATAAATATTTACAAATGGGTCATGAGCCAAGGTTGGGAACTGTTCTACACCCAGCCTAGGAGTGGTGTAGGAGCCAGCTCTCAGAGGAAGTTTGCAGCTAACTTGATATGCCCAGATTCCAGCTCCTTTGTACTGCTAGAGAGGCATAATATAGCCAGAAGGTGGAGAGAATCTGGCCCATACATTTTCAAAATGATAACCAGGATTAAAAATACAAAGAGTACCAGAGATATCTATTGCAGAAACATTTCTTCCAACTATTGCTACTGTTCTAATTATGTCAAAGGTTTCTATAATCCTGAACTATTTGTTTGCACTACTTCCAATAAACAACAATCATAGCTCTATATAGGGTCAGCTCCAGGGTTTGGCTGCCCCAAGCAGCCAAAACAAACAAACAAAAAGCCACGATTTGCGGCGGCAATTTGGCAGGAGGTCCTTCGCTCCAAGCAGGAGTGAGGGACCGTCCGCCGAATTGCTGCTGAACAGCTGGACGTGCCACCCCTCTCCGAAGTGGCTGCCCCAAGCACCTGCTTGGTAAGCTGGTGCCTGGAGCCGGCCCTGGCTCTATATGAAGTTACATTCATTCAATGAACAGATTTCTTTGCGGTTTCATTGTCTTGTAGATCAAGGAGGACTTTTCTTGCCCCTCTGATCCAGAATTAAGTTATGGAATCTCCATCATTGGAGAGTTTTAAGAACTGGTTAGACAGACACCTGACAGGAATGGTCTAGTTATTACTTAGTCCTGCCTTGAGTGCAGGGGACTGGACTAGATGACCTACTTAGGTCCCTTCCAGTCCTTCACTTCTTTGATTCTATGCCACTGGGGCCTCTCAAGGCATGAGAAGGTTGAATATGAAAAAAGAGACTGGAACATGAACAGGCACAGGATCACTATATTGGAGTTGGGGCTGGGATGTCTGCCGCTGTGTGGAACCCACCCTGCCGCCGTGAGGGCTCATCTTCGCAGACATCAGCACCAGTTTAACTTAACGTGTGTGCGCGTGGACATTCTTATTTCAGTTTAGCTTCAAACTCTTCCTAAAGGACTTAAGCTAAATCAAATCAGCCTGGTTCAGAACAGAGTAAGTATCTACAGGCGCACACTTGCACTGGTTTAATATCACATTAAACTAAACCACTGCAAGTTGGAGTACAGATAAGCTCTGAATGAGACATTACAGCCTGTGAGAGGGAGCTGATTGGAGCATAGCACAAGTCCCAGGCTGCTGGTGTTAGAGGAGCGATGGCAGAAGAGGTGGGGAAGGGATAGCTCAGTGGTTTGAGCATTGGCCTACTAAACCTAGTGTTAGGAGTTCAATCCTTGAGGGGGCCACTTAGGGATCTGGGGCAAAAATCAGTACTTGGTCCTGCTAGTGAAAGCAGGGGATTGGACTCGCTGACCTTTCAAGGGCCCTTCCAGTTCTATGAGATAGGTATATATTATTATATACTTTAGCCACACCCCAACCTTTTATATGGTGGTTATATTTATATCCTCCAACAAAGTGAGCAGTGGTGCATTTGGTTTCTGCCCTTCCTCCACTCAGCATCACCCCATTTATCTCATTGACAGTTCTCTCTCTGCTGTCTGCTGAAAAAAAGCTTCCTACATGAGAGTGTATGGTCAAACTAGAGAACGAGGACTCTGGTAATACATTAACAAAACAAGAATGATCTTTGAGAGAAGATTTTCATTTTTAATCATTTTGGAATGTAAAGGCACAGAGTTGACACTGTTTGGTGTTAATGGAGCCCAATTAAATTTCCCTTTGCTATTAAGGACATTCTTGAAAGTTCATCTCTCAACTAGAATTTTTTTTTCCAAGCTGTAGTTTCCAGAAAAAGTGTTTGTTAAAGAAAAAAAGCTGCCAGAGCTCTTGAATTGGTACAATATTTATATTGAATCTACATACAAATACTTTCTTTCACATTACTCCTGGGGGACTTCTGCATCACTGTGCATGTGCAGAATTCATGTCCCCCACAGATTTCTTTGCTTTCCCTGCAGAAAAATGATTTTCTGACAGGGAAGCTGCAGGAGCAGCCACACACCACTCCCTAGCTGTGCAGGTACTTCTTTTCAGGAACCCAGAGCAGCAAATAACCACAGGGCTGGGGACACTCCAGCCAGTGGCTCCTATGCTTAGCCGGAATCAGTTGCTAGTCTCGGCTGCGCTGGAAGCAGAAGAGGATGGGACTTCCTCTTCCCCTGTAAGGAGTGGCGGGGGCTGTGTCAGACCCACCCCCAGAAACCTCTCCCAGCTGCAGGAAGCTCAGCATCCTGCCCTGCTTCCTGCCCCCATCGCTCCTCCGCTGCGGGGGAGAGGTCACTGTAAGGGGAGCTGCCCCCCATCCACCCAACTCCTGTGCATCCGGACCTCCCATACCCAGACACCCCCATCAAGCCTCACCCCATATACCCAGAACCACCCTAGCCCTCCATAACCAAACCCCACCGAAGCTCAACCACTGTATCTGGAGCTCCCTGCCCCCAGACCACCCCCACTGAGCTCCCTGTACTCAAATCTCCACCTTGACGAACCCAACCCCCTGCACCATCCTGACCCCCACAACCAGACCCCCATGCCACAGACCCCCAATTAGTTGCACCCAGACCCCCACCCCAACTCCCCCAGCACCCAGACCCCTCTGCTGAGCACCAACCACCTTCACCTGGAGGCTCCTGCAGAGTCCCATTGCCCTGCACCTGGAACCCCCCCCCAACAAGCCTCTGTGCATCCAGATCCCCCCACATCGAGCTGCCTGCAGCTAGAATGTCCCACACGGAATCCTCTCCCCCCACACCTGGATCCCTTCACACTTGGATCCTGCCTGGATGAGCCTGCCTGCCCCACACCTGGTGACCCTGGCACAGAAGGGCAGGGCCCCAGCGTGTTTCTGGGCCAGGCCCAGGCCTTGTGCTGTGTCAGGGTCAGGTGCAGCCTTACCACTGAGTTAGTGTCCCCAGGGTGGGGGGATTGGGAGGCTGCAGGGTGATGTCCCACCTTCGTGCAGCCAGTGAGTGGCCTGTGTTCCCCACTGCCATGCTGGAGCCTCTGCATTTATTTATTGACAAATAAAACTTGCAGAATTTTAAAATATTGTGCACAGAATTTTTATTTTTTTGGCACAGAATGCCCTCAGGATTATCAAATGCAGGTCCTCCAATTTTGAGTAACATCTTGCCATTGCAAAAGAAAAATAAAATACTCAGTGACACCCCCAATAAGTAAGGGGGGCTACCACAATGGCATTACAAGACTTCGTCATCATCTGGCACAATTTAACTGAACCTCAAATAACTCAGTGAATTAATGTCTGGACTTTCACATGTGTTTAAAATTCATTTTTGAGGAAGTACACTTTCTCCAGGTTAGAGTATTACAATTTTTATATGAGTTTTACTTTCCTGCTCTTAATTTTCTTGAAAGAGACATCACCATGTGGCACGTTTAAACAGCTTTTAGCACAACTTCATAAATACGTAAGCACTTGCTTGTTTTCAAGGCTTTTATATATATGAATATGAAAAGGTTGCTTAAACCTATTCTGCAAATTAATTAAAAGATAAACGAGATTTGTTTAAGCCTACATTTTGGTGGAAGTATTTGTGCATATCTTCTAACATTTTATTTGATAATAATAGTACATAAATATCTCCAAAGCCATTTTCCTACACTGAGTATGTCATGACGTCATATTGGACGAAGGAGGGGGAGAAGAACAGCGGAAATGCCAAGATGCAACCTACCATGTCAGGAAACATAATCCAAAGGAAGGAAATCAAACCAAACCACACAGTGAACATGCTGAAATGTTTTCATAACCTATTTTTCTCAGACAAAAGAAATATAAAATCTTGTACGAGACCAAAAAAACAATGTCTGAGCCCACACTGATACATACAGATAGATAGATGCACATCTGTGTCGTAACCCATACTTTATCTTTCATGTGCTCTGGGGAGTGGTCCCACATCTTTAGTATGAAGGTGTGAAAACTTCTGATGCGTGATTGTGTTGATGAAGTGATCGCTATGCACAGCATCAGGAGTGTATGATAGCAGCTTTGGCACAAGAAAATAAATTCCTGGATAGAATCGGAGAACTTTTCTTGGCACTGAAGATGAAGCTGTGTGCATGGAGAAGATTCAGTGTCTGAGAGATGGCCCTGTGTGCTGCTGACTGCAATGGAGCTCTGATCAGGATGTCATCTAGGAAAGGATACAGGTGAGTTCTGTGAAACCTGAGTCTGGCTATTATCACCACCAAACTCTTTGTAAATAAACCTGAGGGCTGTGTGGGGCCAAACAAGAATATCCAGTACTGATAATGTTTCCTGCTCCAGGCAAGCCTCAGAAGTCTGTGACTGCACAGTCTGATGGGGATATGGAGATATGTGTCTGCTAGATCTACTGAAATGAAGAAGTCCTACTGAGAAGTCAAGGTCTCCATTCAAAATTTAATTTTCTTCATCTATTTATTGAGCCTTTTGAGGTTGAGAATACCTCCCAATACCCCTCATGCACTTCTGTACAATGAAGATGATGGAGTAGAACCTGGAGAAACTTTCTTCTGAGGGAACACTCGCTATCTCTCCCATATCTGGAAGATGAGATATTTTGTTCTGGATCAGACTGTGTTTTAGGGGTTGTTGGAAATAGGTGACTGGATAATGAATGAGTGAGGGGATGACTCAGGTTGAAGGAATATCCCTGACTCACTATTTCCCTAACCCACTTGCCTGTGATCAATGAAAACTATTTCTCCTGGAAATGGGACATCCTGCCTTGCTTCAGCATTAGGCAGAAGCCTATGTGACCTTTGTCATAAAGTGGATTAAGGTCGCAGATCCTTCTGGACTTGCCCTTTGGCTCTCGATTCTACTGTTTTTCCTTGGGGAATCTGTTGACCCTTTTCTGGTACTTCTGGAAGAAGAGGAGCGAAAACAGAGCCTCTCTCTGAAGCACTGTCTATATTCTATTCTGAGGGTCCTTAGTGGGGAAGGGAGACGCTGTTTGGATTTTGCTGCATTGTCAGCCAACACCTTATCCAGCTTTTTGCCAAAAAGGAGGAAGCCTGTAAACCTGGCCAACCACCAGACTTACTTAGAATGAGTATCTACCTTCCAGGGACACAGCCATTGGTGATGCCTGGCTACTGAAGTGAAAGCCATGTCTTGGTCTAAGAATCTCACTGCACCTATTGAGGCATCAACTACAAATGCTGTTACTAGGGAGACTTTCTTTAAAGTGGAGCCAAAGTCAGGATGATCTCTCTCATTAAGGGCTTTGAGATCTTCCAACCAGGAAATAGATGCTCCTGCAAAGCAGGTAATTGCCAGGGAGCCCCAACCACCTACACACACAGCCCCTGCTGAGCTCCAACCACTTTCACTTAGTCCCCCGTGCAGACTCCCATTGCCCCTGCACCTGGAACCTCCCTGTGCATCCAGATCCCCCACTGAGCTACCCGCACCCAGACTGCCCCACACAGAACCCTCTTACACCCATTGGGATCCCCCCACACTAAGTCCCTCTGCACTTGGATCCTGCTGCCAGGCTGAGCCTCCCTGCCCACATCTGGTGTGCCTGGCGCAAAAGGGGCAGGGCTCCAGGGTGTCTCCGTGGCAGGCATGGCCCTTGTGCTGTGTCAGGGTCAGGTTTGGCCTCACTGCCAAGTCCCTGTCCCAGAGGGGCGGGGGAGGCTGCAGGGTATTCTCCCACCTCAGTGGCCTGTGCTCCCCACTGCCATGGTGGAGCTTCCACATTTATTTATTGTAAAAAAATAAATAAATTGCAGAACTTTAAAATATTATGCACAGAATTTGATGCAGAATTCCCTCAGGAATATGGGGCGCTGTACAGTTGTGATGGTGGGACTGTGAAGGGGGTGCTGGACAGCAGGGGGATCTGTGGGCGGGGGAGGTGGGCAGGGGGGTATGGTGTGCAGGGTGCTGTGCAGTTGTGGTGGGAGGTCAGCAGGAGGGGTCTCTGGGCAGGGGATGCTGGGCATAGCAGGTCCGGGGCATAGGGATCTGTGGGGGAGGTCTCTGGGCGAGGGGGCGCTAGGCATAGCTAGTCCGGGGGCATTGGGATCTGTGGGAGAGGTCTCTGGGTAGGGGGTGCTGGGCAAAGCAGGTCCAGGGGCATAGGGATCTGTGGGGGAAGTCTCTGGGTGAGGGGGTGCTTGGCATGGGGGCAGTGTGGAAGGGGCACGCTGGCAGTGCAGGACTGGGTGGGCCAGTGTGAGTCTAGCAGTTGTGGATTTGTAAACAGTGCCCTTGTGCTGGACTGAGTGGAGCCACTCTCCCCACACTGCGCCTCATTGCCCTCAAGCAGCCCCACGCTCTGCAGACCCCATCACATGCCCTATTTCCCCAATGGGGGCCCACAAATATGTTTGGCGCTGGCCCACAAAAAGTTAATCCGGCCCTGCCACTGTCTGCTGCTGTGGAGGCAGAGAAACTGCAGCAAGTAGGAGCAAACTGGGTGTGGCCAGCCTGCGCGACACCAAACTGTGTATGGCCAGACTGTTCCACCTCCATGAGCTGCAGAGAGAGGAGAGCAATCCACAGGTTCAGAATTGTGGGAAACACTGGGCTGCAGAAAAATATTTCAACCACATATTTTAATTATTCAACTTTTGATTGCAAGTGTTCCACTGTGTTGAATTAGAAAAGAAAATTGTATGCAGTCTCCTACACTGAGTTTCCTGATGTCAGTGTCACAAATGACCTCTCATTTGGGCAACATAGACAACCCCAGCACTTTGTTTATAGTGAGAAATACTTCTTACCATTTAAATAACTAGACAAAGAAAAATGGAAACAATTAGTTTTCATTTAAACTTGAGGTGGCAACTAGCAAGAGCTACACAAATAAGTATATGTTGGCTATACATATATTGTACAATCTAAACTTTAGCATTTCATTTTTCTTTTAAATACTTTATTCACAGAAGAAAGGTATACCTGATGGTTCTTTACTTGTCACACCCACACAGAACTGCCACTGAGCTGTACCATTTCCCCAAAAGACATTTGAAATATAAAGTTAACCACAACTGGCATCATGGAAGGCTAAATTAATTATGACTTCAATTAAAGTGAAAATTTCCCTCTAGGTCACAGTTGACCAACCTCTTTATACTTGCCATTTGGCACCAATGGCTTTTCAAGAATAGCTGAAAAGGGTAGAGAAGCTAACCAAGAAGGAGAATGGAAAGGTTATTTATGATGAAATAGAATTTTACTACATGAAAAATTCCAGGTCCCTTTATTATTATTATTATGAGAAATTACTGCCCAAAATCAGACATTTACACTTAGAATTTCTAATGGGAAATAACTCTTAACAATATAGGTAAATTTTGCACGATTATAAATCAAAAGAAATATTATTATTTATTACATATGTAATATAAGGAATTAACAAGGCCTAGTCCAAAGGATTTTGTAAATTTAACAATGTAGATATTAATAAGCACTCAGCAACAAGTCCACTTAACACTACAGAAACCTGCAATCACAAAACCAGTCATGCAAAATCCTACAGGATCTCATACCATCCTGCATTTTTAAGCTGATATATGAGTATATATATTTTCATGTCTATGTACAGACATATAATCACTGAAATAATATTGTGTATTATGGAAAGAGTTTGAGCTAGCTATCAGAGCCAAGGAGAAAAAACACACTTACCAATCCTGGCACACTTCCAGAATATTCCCAATAATCTGTATAGATATATAAAAAGTTGTTAAAGTTCTACATTTAATATGATAATTTAAAAATAATTTAAATGACCTTTGATGCATGATTTACTATTCAAGTTTTTTCTCCATACTGAAACAGTGTATTAGAGCACTAACTTTTCACCTCTGAAGACTTGATCAAATTAAACATTTGAACTCATCCTTTTCTTGCCCTTCCAAAACACCAACACAAATGGCAGTCTCTGCCAACGAAGTGCCAGGGCAGAAATAGTGCTCTGCCAACCTGTTAGGGGAAACTTACACAGTATTTGCTCACATGCCCATCTCCTAATGGTTTTTTGATATCTACATTTTTTCACTGTTTATATTCTTTACTCTGCATTCCTCTCAGTTTAGGCAATAAAAGTAGAGAAAGTATCTTTCTGAGGTGCATATATAACAACGCACACCTTTTGTGTTGCAAACACAAGAGAAGAAAGTTTACATTTAAACAAATCTGTTTTCATTGGAAATTAATTGAAAATGGAAGCATTACTATTAGTGTTATGTTTTCCAAAAAATTATTTGAAAAATCTAGATATGGGGCCAAATTTTACCTTGACAGAGTTCCTTTCAGTTAAGCCTTTTTCAGGCTTTTCCTTCTTTACCAAACTGTGATTTAACAGTATGTCCAGATGCATGTTCAGAAGAGTGGCAGAGTATAGGTGACACACAATTTAAAAGCTTTGGCACCCCAAGAAAGATAGATATCACTTGAAACTGATGAGTTGAGAGGAAGAATGTACTGTTCTCAGTTGAAATGATAGAGTTATTTGTTACTAAAAAGTTCGCAGATGAAAACAAATTGCTTCATTTTTGGAGGCTTAAAACTCCTGAAGTGGGTGATAAATGGAATTTTTTCCATCCCATCATCCCAAATGGTATCAGAAAGACCACTGTACAGGAAGGATATAGCACATGGGAGTACTCAAGATACTTCCAAGTAAGAAAAGGTTTTTAAAAGTTTGTTTTGCTGCATTAGCTAGGTACAGTTCAATACTACTATTTTGGCAAAGAGAAAATCTAGCAGCAAATACGAGGGGCCTCTTAAAGATTATGGGGGTATATTATATCACTTTGCTGTATCATCTCCCATCCATCAAAGATGAGATTGTATTTAAAGTAACAGTGACTCAACAGATCCAAATTTTCTTTCTTAGTACAGAAATGTAGCTAATAAATATTACTGCTGATCATTTCTCAAGAGCAGTGAACAGGAAATAGTAATACTTTGCTGGTCCTAATTTAGAGCAGGCATAATGAGGTACATACTTTTCTGTGGTAAGATGAAATATCACTAGAATTCATTTTATCCAGTATGTCTAGACATTCCCAACTAAGCATGGAATATTCTAGCACAAAAGGACAGGGGCTTTACAGTATATGAGTTCTTTGTAAATATCTAACTTTCAGGAAACTAAGTGTTGGCCTGGAAGCAATGAAATTTCATTTTCTGGTACAAATTATTCAATATATATATATATATAAAACAAAAATAAAATGGCACTTCCAGCATCTATGTAAATACAAACCTACAGATCAAACGCTTAAGTCATCCACTGTGACAGCACCCTTTGAAAACATTTCTGGTGCATAAAGACAGTTCTATTGTACTTGAGAGAGATTTGCTTCAAGAGTAAACATAGTAGCTCCATATTAAAGGAAGTATTACATGCCAAAAACAGCACTAGAATTTTAATCAGTAAAATAAATATTCTAACTTCTTACTGTGTACACCTCATTGACTATTGTCTTATCCTCCATTAGCAGAAACTCAGATAAAAAATAAAATCTTTTAGTAAATCTTCATGTCTTTCCTTCTTTATTAATGTCAAGAAAAATCCCTCATGACAATGGTAATGGTATGGTTTTCTTGTGTAAGGACAGATAAATGTTTTCATACTAGTTTTCCAAATAGAAAAGGCTGGTGTATCTTCTTATATAGACATTCAAGTACAAGTTAAAAGAAAACCCCAGTGTGATAAGAGCTATTCTAGCTACAACACAGAGTAAATCATTTTTAAGGATTTTACAAATACAATCCTCTTAGTAAAGAATTATTAAAAAATTGGTCTGTTCTGAAAAGTACATGTAGAAACAGCAGGATAATATATAGTTATTGTTCTTAATGGCTTCCAGATCAAATTGGCTGTATTTTCAAGCAAAAAGATAGTATTTTAAATGACAGGCCTGCAAACTCAACATGGGATCTAAATATCAAACTCTATTCTTCCTGGCTCAAACATCATTGATAAATGGGTTGCATATGTGTGAATGAGGGCAGAATTTAGTCCAGCAATTGGTACCTCATTTACCATTCTGTTGAGAAGCAACCAGAACAGAATCCAGCTCAGTGTCCCACAACAGCTGGTCCAGCAATATTAACAGAAATAAGTAATAAATAGTAATATAAATACTGATATGACTTGGAGTACACCGATGGAGAAAATTTGTTAAATAAGTTAGTGCCCTTTTCAAACTGTCATTTTCCAGAATAGAACCAGACTTTAAGACTCAAAGTGGATAATACCATGTTGGCAGTCTAATGAGGCAAAAGAGGACAACAATAGCAAAACCAATTAAAATAATGAGAATCCAATTATATGTTTGGAAAGTAGAAAATTTCCAGAGTTGTTCTAAGCAACGTTCCCTCTAATTTATTCCATCCATGTGTGGAATGAGTTTGTTACGTGCACCAATATTGAGGTAATGTGCGGATGTGCGCCACCAGTAGAAACAAAAAACCTAGATATAATATATATATTTTTAAAAGTTACCATAGAAATAATTACTCCAGCCAGGTCAGGTTAGGCATTTTAGAACTCACTACTCAAATAATTAAATTTTAGCATAAGAGAGAAATAAAATTATGAAATGCAGACCAGTCAAAAAACTAAAATAACAGCACTTTGCAAGAATAAAACTACAGAGAATGTATGTGTATTGCAGGAAGTACCAAGAAGTAACAGCAACACCACCACAAGTTTGTGTTGGAAGGTATGTGTGAGCGATAGAGACTCTGTGTGTGTGTGTGTGTGTGTGTGTGTGTGTGTGTGTGTGTGAGAGAGACAGAGAGAGTATGTGTGTGAGTGCGAGACAGTATGTGTGCATGTGCATGCAAGACAGACTGCGTGCTCGCGTGTGTGTGTGAGAGAGAGAGAAATGGGGTGTGTGTGTGTGTGTGTGTGTGTGTGTGTGTGTGTGTGTGTGTGAGAGAGAGAGAGAGAGAGACACAGAGACAGAGTGTGTGCGCGCTAGCTGCTGGAAAAGTGCATGAAAGACCATGCACTGTCTCTTTAAGCACAGGCGCTCTCACCAGTCTGAAGGCTCATTCAGATTGCAGCGGCTGCAAGCAGCTCTGTCGAACTCCCAAGCCCTGTCCCCCCACCCCTGCTCTGCGGAGATGGGGTACATGGGTGGGGGAGGGGGACACCCTGATGTCAGAACCCTTCCCCCCCAGCTCTGCACAGCAACAGGAGGGTCCCGGGAGCAGCTGGCCAAGGGCTCCAAGGCAGAGGGCAGGAGCAGCGTGGCAGCACAGCAGTGTGGGGAGGGGCACCTGAAGACAAGTCACCGGATGTGCGCGGCTCTACTAATCAAGTGCGTGGCATTTGACTGACTCTTGTTTGGCCATGCAGGTGCGCAGCTTAGAGGCAACACTGGTTCTAAGGCAAGTTCCTTTAATATCTTTGAAAGATATTAAAACAGCATGATGAGAGACTACTCACTTCTATGGAGATAATGAGGCTTTGTTCGATAAAATATTTTGAAAATTCATTTTAATCTGAATTCCTAGTTAAATGTTTAACTATCTGTGGTACTATTTTCCTTCATACTTGTACCCTCAAAGACTTAATTTAATAGAACTATAATAAAAGGTTCCCCCCCCTTTCTTTCCATCCCCACCTTAAAAACCACACAAACATAGTACATGCACATCTGTGAGAATAAATGGAAGTAGAAAAACTGATAGATGACCAAATAAATCTTTTTCTATAGCTAAGTTGTTAGAGTTTAAGTTAATAAGCACCTGTTCAGGCAGAAAGTTAAAAATCTACAGAATAGCTCTACAGGCAAGATTTGCTAGGGTTTGTTATATTTATATATGTGTAAAAAAAAATCTCGACTATAAAATTCCATGGTCACTTGCAAATGCCATTTTATCCTCTTCATTTTATGAGATGCCCATTTATGTCAGCAGCATTTTTAATTTTAAGATGAGAAAAATCTTCTGTAAGGATGAACAAACTACAACACTGTTGACTTACATTCTGAAGTATGTAAAGATGATGTAAAATGCCTAGTACCAAAATTTTAATCTATTTTAAACATCTTGTGTGAGAACACAAATGATATACACAGTTCATTACAAAGTGAGCAGACAATCTATAATTTTTTTTAAAAGTAACTAGCCTTATTAACATACCCAGTTTTATTTTTGTCCAGTAAGCTGGGAGCCAAGGATCTGATATAAGCACAGGTACATATGAGCAGCAAGATTACTGTCAGTAGGCTCTGAAAGTTGAAGATCGCAGACTAAAAAAGAAAGTTAAAAAAAAATTACACTTTTGCATTACAAGTCATTTCAAGGTCTCCCACTGCCCCTTCTAAACACACACACAACAGAGAGCAAGTAGACAATACTCATTTAAAAATGGGTGCTCTTCTAAACAAGGCTGGTTCACTGGGATTGTATCAGCCATATGCAATGTACAATGCCTAAGTGATCTCAAGATTTTTAGTTTCTAACTCAGCATTTATTCACTCTCATTTGGTATGGAGGGTGGAAGGGTGTACCTTACTTCTTTGCTCCAACACCTGTTCCCAAGCTGATTCAGAGAAACCCCTAAATTGCATCCTCAGATTTAAAGAATACAGATACTGTCCTCTCTCAACCAAAAAGTAAATGAAATTGATTTGCATGCGTAGGTGATGAAAGAGGGAAAAAGACTGACAATTAAAGCAGTGATAGCCCCAGAATAAAAGGCACAAATTATGTGGAGGGGCGTCAAAAAAAGGGATTTGCCACTAAGAAAAACAGAACCATTCAGCCATTAAAATTTTCATATATTATTTTAGCAAGATCAGCAGTCTACATACAAAAGATCTTCTGCAGAATAGATACAATTAATTTACATTAATCCAATCATTTAAAAAAAAACTTAAATAAACCAAAAGCATTACTCAGTTGTCTTTTAAAGACATATCAGAGTTAAACAGTTACCATTTTCAAATGATCTTTTTCTCTCAAACTCAAAGGTGGCGTTCATATAAATAACATTGCTCAAGGTATTAGTTGTATAGTAAATATTGCACAAATAAGGCACAGTATTTTAATTAAGATACTGGGATGTAAAAATCTAACACTTGGTCAGGATTTTAATTAACTGCCTAAAGGGCATAAGAACTTGGAATGATTCTTGAGAATCTGTTCTTGTTTCTGGGAAATATTTATTTAAAGAACATTTACTATAGGTTAAAAAAATAAACAATGAAATATAAAATTACTAAATTTATTAGTCTGACTTATATCGATAAAACACAGCAAATTCATCTTATGCACTTAATTTTTCAGTATGTTGTCTGGACATTGTGTTATCTATTCACAAACCAGAGACGGTGATTACCATTGCTGGCATGAGAAATATAGCACCCTTTATGAAACTGCAGATGCTATGGAGGAAAGTGAACCTTCACTTATGACTTTCTATATTTCCATAAGCAAGTACATTATCTATACTGATGCTAATTTGCTCCAAGTGCCAAGCCACTATGTTTCAATTAATAAAACACTAGCAACCTCTGTGGTGCATTTTTCTTTGTAGTGGTCTCACAGGAAGTTACATTTTCTAAAAAGACATTTGTCAGCCTCTTGCTTGTGATTCATGGTGTCATAGATTCCAATTATTTAACTTCTTTTTACAATGTGCAAATGTTTCAGCTATCTGAGACTGTAGTTTTATTGCTTCTTACTTAATATTGCTCAGCTAGTATTTGGATTAACTCAACAGTATATGCTGTTACACTGAAGATAATTGTGGGAAGTATATTAGACAACTGCTTATTGCTAACTGCTTTATTTTCTCTATGCTCTAAGTTCTTACTTATTCTCAGCTCCAGAAAGGACAAAACAAGTAGAGAATTAAGTTTTTCTTTTCTTCTGGGGTTTTAGGTTCCTGAAAGATTGCTGTCTGAATACCTGTTTTTTCCTCCTGTTGGATCCAGGAGGCTTCATTATAAAATACTAGTTAATACTGTATCTGTACACCAGTTTCAATTATTTTGTCAATTTATTTCAAAATACCTGTTAGCAAGTATGTCTGTAACAGTACAGACAACAGAAATGTTTTTTGAAAAATAGATTTCTTACAAGGCATATTAATACAGAACTTTGAGTAATAATTCATTTAAACTACAATACAGAAATGTGTTTCCTGCACCACTGGGAAGCAGTGCAAAGGCTTGGGGGAGTCAGGTAAAGGAGGAGTTGAGGGAGAGGGAAGTAACTGCTGGGCAGAGCCTGGGAGTGAACCTGGAGGGTTGTTGGGTATGGGTTGGAGGAGTATGGAACAGGGTTTTTTTTTTGGCAGTGGAAGGATTGTTAGGGAGTTGGGGAGTTTCCTCATGCAGACCCTGGCTGACCCCAGCCTCTCCCATCCAGTCTGGCACATCTGCCCCTGTCCCTATGTGTCCTTGCACCCTTTCCCCCATCCCCATGTTTCCCTGCACCCCCACACCAATTCAGCCCTTGGTTCAATCCTCCACTAGGCTCCTGTGCCCCCAACCCAGTCTGTCCCCCCCACTAGCCCTTCTGAACCCCAATCTATGGGACCCCCATCAGCCACATGTACCCCATTCTATCCATCCCTCCCCCCCCCCCCCATCCCGTTCCTCCTCATCTGGTCCTGCAGGCAGGACACTGTGAGGAAGACAGCCTCTTCCTCTTCCCCTCCCTCTCCCTGGCTGGCTGTTCCAGGCCTGAACTGACTGCCCTCTCTTCTGGTGCCACATCAGCCCCTGGTGGGCGAAAGTTGTAATTGCAGTGCCTCCCCAGCAGAATGTATTATTCTGCGGGGGGTTGGGGGGCAGGAGGGAAATCTGCAGGGGACATGAATTCTGTGCACGCACAGAATTCCCCCAGGAGTATACAAAGACATACATTGCTCAGTTCTCATCTCCGCCAGGCTAAGGGAGAAAGAGATCAGGAATCAAACCCTTCTGAACTAAGTGGAATGAAAAAATGTTCATATTGTACAATTACAACGAGGAGTCTGGTGGCACCTTAAAGACTAACAGATTTATTTGGGCATAAGCTCCTCGTTGTTTTTGTGGATTCAGACTAACATAGCTACCCATCTGATATTGTAAAATATTGACTTAGCTAGAGAGCAAGGCAGGGGTGTTTTATTGTTACAAATGAAATGATTCAAAAAGAAGTCAATAACCTTTTATGATAATTTATTGAGGTTTTAGGTATCATCAGTAGATAGGCATTTGACAGTATCTATAAAATTTGTACAAATGACAAGAGGAAAAACTGTACCACACCCAAAAAAGCAGACAAGGATGAAACATGAATTAGAAGTTCAGATTGAAAACTATGTGGAGAGAAACATTTAAAAAATGTAGAGTAGAAGAAATCTTGTCCAACGATTTTTTTTAAATTAAATTTTGAACCTTGACATTTTTGCCATTCATCATTTCCCCCAACCATGATAAACATTTAGTCCTTGCTACAGACTGTATTATTATTAAGGCTACCACAAATGAACACTAAGGCTAATCCTGATCCTGCAAGAGTAGAGGGACCTGGATTCAGCAGAAAGCAAAAATCTGAAAGCCAACACACAGAGCTGTGAGGTTACCTGTGATTCTCCACAGAATAGCTTTTTAGGTCAAGCTAGGTGCATCCTCAGGTATGTACTAATCATTCACATGTTTAGGGGAGAGATACCAGGACTGGGGTAGATTGGAAAGGGGCTATTCCAGCAGGGTGGATCAGTTGATGCTCTACAGTTTGGAAGGAGGATTCCTTCCTGCAGCCCCTGCGGAATCCCTATGCATCAAGCCCAGGTATTCAGATTTGGTTCATTGTCCACAATTTATCCTAGTTTACATTTATATTGCTCATAACATTTTAATTGCCAATAATCAATGAAGAGGTGCAGTAGCTCATATTGAGGCCTCAGCTGTGGAACTTTTAAATTGTTCCCCATGTTAATAGCTTAAGGCACTAATATGATTAAATACTACAAAAATTCCATTTTAAAAAAGGCTTTGAGTTATAAATACATATGTGGCTTAAAATGACAAATACCTACATTTTTAAAACATTACTGTACAATTTAAAAGTCATAACTCTTCTTAAAAACTGAAAATGAAAATTCATCCCTGGACTGAGGTGAAGTTTCTGGTTTCAGCTCTGAAGGAATTTTTATGGCTAAGACAAAATAATAGAAAAGGGAATTTTAAATCCAAGTGCTGACACTGGTATAATTAAAAGCTACGATAATTAAAAATCCCAATAATTAAAAACACATTACTTGGGATTCCTTCTGCAAATAGCTTAACTATATATTTTTAATATTGCGCTTATTTTATATATATATGAATTATTAAATCTAATTGGCTGAATTGGGGTCACGTGACCTAAAATACTGCCCTACCTTTAAAACCTCACATGCTAGTAACTGGCTTATATAGGGTCACATGAGCCTGTGTCCTATTATAAAGAAAGCTCAGAAGGGAAGAACTGGTGCTGTAACATTACTCCTAGGCCTAGACTACAATGCAGGATGGCGAGCCATAGATATAGTTGCATTGGTAGACAAGGAATTTGCTCTGATAGAGCTTATCCTGATTTTAAACAAGGAAAAGCTCAACTTGTGCACATTGTGGCTTTCCTGGTCTGTGCTTCGGTTTTGTACATCTGTAGCCGGTAAGCATTTACAGGAATCGGAGCAAATTCACAATACAGAGAGGGTCCCAGTATCTATATTCCCATGTTCTATGCTAAATTATTCCTCTCTCCTTGTGATTGTCTCTAAACATTTGTGGACTGTTATCACATCATCTAGGGCAATGAGGCTGTTAATGCTTTGGGTGAAATTTGCAAGAGCAAGGCTTTTTTCCAGTGGCTGGCCCACAGCTGTAGAATGCTTTCCTTGGAAATCAAAATGACCAAATATCCTAACCTTTTATGAGCCACATGCAAGACGGCTGTTTTTGGAGTCATTTCCCCAAAACAACAGCCTGAAAAATGGCCTAGCATTACTTCCCTGAACATATCAAATAATACAATAATAGTTAAGAAATCCATAGCATACCCCACAAGGAAAATATACAGAAAGAAAAGCTTTCAAACTGATTGTTTGCACTCAGGTGCCACAGTACTGAGTGAGACATTAGAGATACCCAGATGAATATATTCAATAGTTAAGATAAAATACATTGTAATTTAAATGTTTCAAATATATTCATATCAGAGTCCTTATATAAACACCATGGCAGCCAGCCCTGAGGACACTGGGGCACAC